CTTTTCAGCCAATGGAGAATTCAATAGTCTTTTGAAAGATTTCCAAGATTTCTGTTAGGAGTTTTTAAACAAATAATGCACGGCTTCTGTCGGGGGTTTATGCTACCATTTCTTTTCCTGCGCCCTGACGTTTTGCCCAGTACGTTACGAGCTTCCCCAGCCAGCAGCGGCCGGTCTCCTCGCGGGGCAAGCAAGGAGCCCTCCTCCCCTCTACCCGTCCCCCAGCCCCGCGCCGCCTCCAAAAAGGCTACCATCAAACTCCAACGGGACGTCACCAAAAGGAAAAAGCGGACACTTTGCGTAAACAAATGCACGACTCCAGGACACACAACTCGACCGAAACAAGAAAGAGAAGCGTCTGCTTCGCCAAACACACGACAAGCTTCTGTTTGCGTTTGCTGTAGATTTTTATATTCTCTCCCTTTCCCCCCAACCCTTTTCCCCCCCATCCCCAAACCCCTGATTCTCATGTGATTCAGATCTAGTGCAACTTTACTAGAGATGTCCTCCACACTGCGGCCCCTGCCCGGCTGAGCCTGCGGTTCCGTTTCCTGCACGATTTGTGGAGCAGCAGGATGCTCGGCACTGGCACATCCATGTTCTAAGTTCTACTAGTCTGTTTATCGATCAATTAAATATAGTTTTACCACAGGAATATAAAGTATTTAATTGAAGAAGCTGGATCTTTAACAGTAGACAAGTATATTATTCTGGTTTCCACCTTTGGATATTAAGTATGATACATTATATATTGTATTTGGCTTCATATCATGGGAAAATTTAATGACATGCCTAGCATGCAAAGTGTTTCTTAGTAGTTTCCATTTTTCTTTTCGTATTGATTACGCTGTCTGTGAACAGTAACTGAGACGGTTTGAATCACAACCAATTTTCACATTGTAAAAAGCCTCCAAGTCACACTTCGCTTTATCGATGTCTACGCTCGGCTGCGTGGTGGTGATGTCCTTCAAAGTGACTATACATCCACAGGGAAGCTCTTTCGTCAGGAAAACCCGGCCCCTCCACGCCCGGGCTGTCCCCCTGCGAAAGGATGCCCAGGGAGAGCCCGAGATTCCGCAGAGGGCTGTGGAAGGACCGTCCCGACCACGGCACGCAACCCCCTACCCATCCTACCGAGCCCGGCCGCTCGCGTGGCACAGGCCCCATAAGCCTCTGATCCAAATCGACACTGGTGCCTGTCCTAATTTCTGAAATTCTTGACATTCTCGCAAACCACGAACGCGTTTTTTCCGGACTCCTTTGCCATCCAGCAGCTTGTGCCAGGGAGGTTTTGTTTTCTAGACCGTTCCTCTGGTAGGCAGGAGGGTTTCACAGCCTAGGTAAGCTTAAGTACAACGCTCGACAAATTCACGGACCACGATACGGGAAAGCAAAGCTCGGTGGGAGAGGAGAAGAGGCGTAGGAGCCATCGCAACAACAACGGGAGGAGGGCGAGGGGTGCTCAGCACCTCGCAGGGGCGGACCGTGGGGAAAGGAACCTTGTTTGCATCCTTGCACCGTAACATCACCTACAGTAAGTTTATAACCGTTAAGATTAATCTGAACCAGTTGCTCCGGTTTGTAAACAGTAAACGTTACCACAAAAACAAAACAAAAACGCTGCTCAAAAGTATAAAGAAACTGGAAAAATTACAAACACGTAAAAAAAAAAGTAGGACAGCCACAGCCTTTAAAAAAAGTTGCAGATAAAATGATACTGTTTAATTTAAAAAAAAGAAACCCAAAACAAAAAAACAAACATAAAGAGCACAGAATATACTGGACAAACAACTATATAAATTATTGTGACCAAGTGTGACACTGGTAGTTTACGAAGTGGATATGTACAGTCAAATTAAACAGTGTTTACCCTTCTGTTCTAATAGTGTTAAAATGAAAAATCTATTGCCGTTTCACTATACATTGCATTGATTGAATCTTTAAAAGTCAGGAAAAGTTACCCAAAAAAGCACATCCACTGATTGTACGGATTCTCGGCCCGCTTCTCCTTTCCAGGTTCATCTCGCGTCCTTGACTCATTTGCAACAAGGCACGGCCTCTGGTCCTCGGCTCAGTGAAAGGCAAACGCAGCCCTCACCCGGGTTTCAGTGAGCTCAGGACTGGGCCCGCATTTCCATGGCTCCCTTTGAACATCTGCTCTTACCATATACAAGTCCTTTCGGAAAACACATATGAAAAATCCAATTATTTTTTTCCTTTCTTTTTTTTTTTTGTCTTTTTTTGGGTTTTTTTGTTTTTTTTTTTTTTTTTACAGGGGCGGGGATAAGGGGCGGGGGGGCTGATGTGGGACCCAGAATTAAAGAAGCAGTCCTGTCGCCAAATTCCGAAGCGCTCCGCTGGGCGGGGTACGACTGTGTCCTGGTTGACAAAAATACAGATCGCTAAATCTGCGAGACATCGTCACAGGGGAGGAATGTCGCTAACTTAACTTTTCTCCTCAGACCTTTTTTTGTGAGCGAGGGGGGTTTACAGTTTTGTGCTGGGATGTACAGAGGACAGCTGGGAAGGTGGAAACGCGGCTTGAGGGTTTATAGCAGCTAAAGGATAAATGCTGTTATGCAAAAGGTCACCGTAGGAACTTCCTACAGGTGTTGCTGCAGCTAAGTGTCTGTACAGTTGCTGGGAGTTTGCGGGGGACGTGAGGAATTGTCTCTGCACCATGAAGGAGTGGAGAGCCAAAGGCTGCATTAGTGGGGAGAGCACGGTCTGATTTTTCAAGTACTGCAGGGGATGAGAATACCCAGGCGGGAGGCGATTGTTCAGCCCTGTGCACAGGCTCCCCGGATACAAGCCTGGGAAGATGGGGGCTGAAAGGGGAAATTTGTGGCTTTCCAGCATGCTGCCAGAATGGAGGCCGTGCACCGGCTTGCTGCCTTCCCCCTCTGGGTCGGGAACCTTGTCTTTCGCCGGGGTCTCCTTTGGTAAGTGCAGAGGAGAGACAGCTCGGATTTTTTTTTCAGAAATGACTTTGTCCAAATCCTCCAGGCTCCGTTTCAAAGGCCGGGCAGCCCCCACGTTTTGAGGGCTCGTTTTGCGGCTGATGATAGGATGCACCATCCCCTCCATCTTCCTCAGATTCTCCAGCCTCTGGGCCTGCTGCTTCCCAGACCTGTGGAGCAACTCGCTGTGTTTTTTCGGGGCTGCCATGGCCATGGGGGACACGCGGCAAGCTTTGGGGTTACAGTCTAGGCTCACCGCCGGGCTGCTCGCAGCCTGGAACGGGGAGATACCTTTGCCTTCTTGCTGGGCCATGGATGAGTGAGGGAGGCTGGAGCCCGGAGCCTTTGCAGTCTGTTTGTGTACGCTCTTTGGAAGACTCAAATCTGTTGGCTGATCATCTGAAGAGGCCTCCACTGCTGCCTTTTTTTCTTGCTGATGCAAAGACGGGCGATAATTTAAATTTAGTTTTTCTTGGTGTTTGTGTTGAATAAAAGTAGAAATATTTTCAGACTCTCTGAACATGTCCCGGGGGAGGTACTTTGATGTCTGTTCATTATTAAGGTGGTGTTCTGTGTGCCTATAAAGGCTGTGCAGATGAGGTGATGAATAAAAATCTGCCAAGAAAGTGGGCACATGGGAGTGCTGCAGTGCCCTTTTCTCACTCATTTTATCTTTGCAGTCCTGGATATCCGTCTTCGGTACGTACGACTCGGCAAGAGAACTGAGGTGATGTTTTGAAAAATCACAGCGCTGAGGATCCGCTTTACTTAGCATGTCATGTTTAAAAACATCATTAATCGATTTCCTTTCTTCCTTGGTTTTAAAACTCTGTACGTGTTGTATGACTGAGGGCCTATTAATTGCTACAGGATCAGAATTAGGGGCGTGGGGACCTTGCGATATGCTGGAGGACAGCTCATCTCTGCTGTTCAGTTTCTTTTTGCTGATCAAAGGTGGAGGAGAACCATAAGGATAGCTACATGACAGGGCTGCCCCACTGACCTGCGACAGCAGCTTCTTCTTTGCCAGGGGTGACATGATGCCTGGATTACCCTTTGAGTAGAGCAGCGGCGTGTAACCAAAAGTGGAGTCATCGTTCATGGACCCAGGCAGCTCCTTTTCCTTGAACATGTCGAAGTTCTGGACCACCAGTACTTTGGGCGTTTGCTTTAGTGCATTGTGGATATCTTCGTTTCCCAGCTGGTCCACTTTCACCGTGCAGTTTGCGATGTAATCGGCCATCTCTGGCAATTTGTCATCTTCCATGTCGCTCTGAGCGGGCAGCTGGACCGGGAAAGTCGTGAAGGGCATTTCTGGAGGTTCGCTTTCTAAGCTGTCAGTAAAAGCTTTGTGTAGTCTTTGTTCCTGCTTTATGTCTTCCAGGGCATCTGCTGGGGGATGCAATCGTTTCGTGACGGTGGCATCCAGCATGGTGTCCTCTTCTGGGGGCACGGATATACTTGAGAAAGAGGACGACTGCTACGCTGTTGGTGCTGTTTTCTGTGAGGTCTGCCTTTTCCAGGGGCAGTGGCCGAGCTGCCTCTGGTGAAAGAGATGGAGGGCCTTGCACGGGTTGTTTCATCTCTCCCGCTGTAGGATGTTCAGGGAAATTTTTCTGGTCTGCTGATTCTTGATCCTTCTCTTGTTCTGATGAAATCTAATAAAATGATTCAACAGACAGTAATAAGAATGTGGTGTGTTTTGGCAGACTGTTCGTAAGATCATACACAGTACCCTGTTGGCTACTTTTAGAGAAGTACTTGTCAATCACCTTGCTGGAACGTGAAGGCTCTAACGCCAGGTATTGGACAAAGAAATTTTCCTCCTGGAAATATTAAGAAATATGCCGTCCCTGCCAGGGCCACAAGTCATTTCAAAACAGCAGATGTTTGTAACCCGACGAGAGGCACCAGTGGCTTGACCAGATAGCTAAACGCTGAGGTTATACTCTTTTAAAATTAATTAAGCAAATGCAGGAGAGCAGATTTCAGAACACAAATGATAAGGTGATAGAAATTTCTCCCGCTAGCCAACTTCACCTACGAGAACGACACCACGATTCCCATATTTTTTCTTACATAAAGTCTCTCCAGCGTAGCTATCTTAAAATTCAGTGATCACAGAGGAGATCATTCACACCCAGTTCTGCGTTAAAGTGTGAAAATGATAGAAATGGCATACTAGGAATCCCTATTGTAGGCAGCAAATCACTGCCACAGCTTAACTAGGACACACATTTTTTTATTAACGGATTAAAATGAAGTTGTCAACATTCAGTAAGTGTGTGTGCCCGCTACTACAAACATGGCTTTTATACGTTATCGTCAATGGGACTGCAGCTCTTTCTGCTCCCCCATTAATAAAGCTTGTGTGCACAATTCACACTATTCATCCCATTATGTAGCCGGCTGAACTGTGACCCGCAGAGGTCACCAGAGCGTCCCATCTGCGATCCAGCTGACTGACAGCCCTTTTCAAAACTGCTGTCACTCTCCTCTGACATGTCGTGGTAGAAGACAGTCATAAAACAGCAGCATTGTGTGAGCCCTTTATTATTATTGTTTTCTTTCTTTCTTCGTTGTAAAGATAAGACGCATCCAGAAAGTTATTATCTAAATGCTGCTTTATGGTCTGTCATAGGAGCAGGGGATCGGAGAAGGTCCTAATGAATCTAACCCTCTCAGAGATTTATTTCTTCGCAGCTGCTTTTAAATATTCCTGTCTGTTTGGCTGGCCTATTAGTTACAGTGTCTGTTAGTCATCCTAACTTCTTTTTAAACTCATAGCTGCCTTTTGCAGCCAAATACCATCATTAGGTCCTTTACAAAGTACCATCGCTAGTCTCTTGAGCTTATAAAATTACAGGAAAATACCAGACAGATGAGCAAAGCAAGGAGGAGAAAAAAGAGAGAAATCATATTTAATAACTGTACATTCTGCTCTTTGTTTCTGTTAAGCAACATTTTGATTGAAGTTTCAGCTATTGTGAGGAAATGTGCAGTCTAAGGCTAATAGCATTTTGTCTGGTATCTCGTTACATTGACAATGTCACCGTGATGGCAGGAAAACAGCGAAGAGTACAAAAGCAAATGCAACCCTAATAAATTAAAGTTATATTCTCTCCCTGCATACTTCTCATGGTGTATGAGTTGAACATGCAACTGAGAGGACCGCACATTGGTAACCTGATTACGCTTTTACAGCTCACAGCTACGGCCAGCTTCCAGGCCACATGCAGAAATGGTTTAAGCGGTGGCTTGGTTGGGGCCATGCCTACACATCTACGTGTGTGGCTACAGAGGCTCCCTGTGAGCAACACACTACCACTGCTGTGCCAAATGAGGAGCCTGGCATGTGGCTGCGCTGCTGGGGGACAGCGGGAGTGAGAGGGACGTGCAACCTTCTGCCTGGTTCCAGCAGACTTGGATTTCGCTCCACCCAAAGGAGCTGGATGTCTCCTTTCTGCTGGCCCCGTAGGGGCCACGTCCCGGGCACGGAGCCCTCCCTATGGCAGAGCACGGATGAGCTCTGCAGCTCTGCACCCACCCAGGGTGGAAGCATCCACCCCTGCAGGCCCCTTCGCTGCTTGGGCTTCGTGTGACCACCTACCCGTACGGTGACCTGCCTGAAGGCTGAGGTCCTTAATTGCCCACCCTGATTAAACAGGGGCAGGACACATCTTCCATCCCAGTCAAGGAGGAGATACTAACTCTGCTATAAAAGGTACCATTTTACAATGGGAAACTACCGTAATTGTACATTTTTATTGTCTCGCCTAGGCTCCCTACACTTCTGATAAGCGCAGCTTAAGAACTCTTCCTGCAAACCACACAAAAATAACTGCAGTTTAAGTAGCAGGAAGTTTGGGATAGGGAACAACAAAAGCAAGGAAATTCAAAGTTAAGGCTGACGCTCTGCTGCTGACTTGTTATGTTGTGCTTAGCGGTGGTGGTACAGATAGCGTGTAACGCATCTTGCTGATCCAAGACCCTTCAGTAAATAACCAGGCACAAAGGAATGACAGGGGAAGGGAACACACGCCTTCACTTTGCATCTCCCTGCTTTGGGCAATTTGTGTTGCAGCCTTCCAGTGACTGAAGGAGGTTTGTGCGCGCTCTCCTCTCTACGTATTCTTCATCAGAAGTGGAGGGGTTTTCCCCCCAACAGGGTTCCCTGCTTTAAAATTACAGAGTGAGAGAGAACAAAAAAACCTCCCCTCTCTGTGGAGTGCTCTTACATTAGATATTAAAGGTACTGTTGATCAGGGCAATTTAAAACGCAAATTCTGGTGTGGATGGGAGGGTGAAATTGTCCTTGTAAGCACAACTTAAAGAGGTAGTGGGACATGAAAATCAAAATCGTCTGTTCTCAAAACTGGGTACACAAAGTCTCAGAGGCATCCATGTTTACTGTCCTGCATTGGTTTTTTTAAGCAATGAGGAGAAGGATTGCTGGTAGCTGACTCAATACCAATTTCCAAACTGGTTTACAAACAGGACTTATGTACCTGCCAGACAGCAATGAAGTCAAAGGAGCAGCCGTAGTCTGCCGGGCATGTCATGTGTTTTGACATTCTTTAAATACTTACTTTCACTGCAGCGCCTTGAAGGCTGCTGTGATCTGGCAGACCGAGACAGGAAAAGCAACATCTCG